CATAAGACATCTATTTCATACATGAAATATATTATAAATTGTAGATATTATATATTATACATATTATACATTATTGATGCATGTCATATAACACCCTTTCATAAAGTGATAGAAAGTCGGTACGATAATACCCTAAGAGTTCTGCAACTATTTCCTCAAGAAATTTGATTCTGTTATTCAGGCAAAGGTTGTAGACTGGGCGCCTTGTTTGCGAAATTGCGACCCTTGTCGCTTCCTGGTGCAAATTCGACCTTCTTCGAAATTGGAGACAACAATTTTTTTCTAGGAAAACTGATGCATCAACATGTACACTGCTGTGTTTTGCCAAATATCGTCGTAATGGTGAACCTTGGTAAGAATTTGCTTACCCTGGATGTCCTTGTCCAGGATGTGGCCGTAGCCTCGCCGATATCCTTACCATATCAGATACATTGAGGCCTCATGCTCTGGACATGGAGCATTCGATTGCTGCCAAATCGCATCGCATTTAGCATTTACGTAATGCCCTTTGACAGTGGTGTGGGCGCACGTCTAAACGCATTTGCAACTGTAGGGGGCACGTACCTTTCTCCCTGTCCCACGCGCACAAGTCCTTGACCACGCATGTCTCTCGCGTCTCCAAGTTCATGCATCCCGTCTGGAAGATGGCTTGCACCACCTGGCACGTAATGTAGCCGCTCCGCACGGGCTGGTCCAACAATTGCTGCGGCATCGAAGAAACAGGGCAAACGTTTCTGACTGTTTAAACATTCATATCAAATGAGAAAAACAGTTAGAAATGGATTTGAATGAATGAGCGGAGAAAGAGCAAGAGGAGGTTTGGGAGCGCGGTTGAGACTGGCAGCGCTATCGCTGTACGATCTGTTGCGCTCGATTGGGAGTGGGCAATCATTAGCATTAGCAGATGAAAGGCTTTTTCAACCCGGCAGAAGGTTGAAAGGGGGGGAGCAAATAGAGCCGAAATTAAAAAGTTCGCCAGCTCCTGCACTAAAGCACTAGTCTGCTTGCGCTTGAATGCATGTTGGGGAATACTTGAAATATATGCGACATATGCAGACTTACATACGTATGTATATATGTATATATAGATAATATTGCATGTTTGATTGTTATAAAAAGCAATGCAATGTAGCCAATGTATTACTCGGCTTCCCTCGATGCGCAACCTCACCTTCAGGACGACCTTGGGGTCGAGATAGCAGCCGCACAGCTGCGGCTCTGGCACGCAGCCCTTCCTGCACTCGCCAGTGACGCTCGTGGTTTGCCGGCACAGCAGGGAGGCGCGCATGCTTGCCCGCATCACCGGGTCGCTGATGGCCTCAAGGAACATCTTAACACGGCCAAGGAAACCTTGTAGTCAGCCAACGCGCCGGTTGGCTGGCAGCCGATGATTTACGTAATCCCAAGCCATAGGCGAGCAGGTGGCACCATTAGGGAAGATTGCGTTTGTTATGACTGACGCATTTGATTGGACGTTCCATGCGCTGGATATCGTACGGGGTATCCAAGACATACGGGTCCCCATGTCCTGAATATCGAATAGGATACGGGTGCCACCTATCCTGAGCATGTATATCCAGGGGATTCGACTTCATGACGCAAGACAATGCATCGCATTGTGGCATAGCATGATATGGCGCGGCGTGGTATTGGTATTTTATCACCGCCAATCGATTGCAAAGTGCAACGGCTTTCGCGCCAGGGCCATCAAGCACTCCAAATCAATACAGGAGATGAACTTAAATAAAGTATATCATATAACCGTACAATTAATTATATAACTATATTATTAATTATAAAATTATATATTTAATTGTATAACTATATAATTATTGCATTCTCTGCCAGTCACATTCTGGCCAAGGATAGCTTTGCCGCTTTCCGGCAGCTTGCCAGGACTTCCAGTGGTTTTGAGGTTTCCGCAATGTGTCATTTCAAAATTTAAATAAATGTGGTATTAGGTATATGTGGTATTTCAGAAATTAAATAAAAAGGAAGTATCGAAACATTTGGTAAACGATTACCCTACCTCGAACTGGGCAAGTTTCGTGGACAGGAAGCCGGTATCCACAGGCTTACAGTGCTGCTCGCCGTCAATCAGGACGATGTCCCCGCACAGCAAATCTTCCGCGCACACACCATCCCTGTCAAATCGCGCCTGGTAGCGCAAGCCGAATGAAGTTCAACAGCCATCGATAGCAAAAATGGGTTAGAAACAAATGCATAATAAACAAGCAAATCTTGCAATTAAACCTCTTTTAGCCAAGTGGACGCGACTCAGCACTGCAAAACTCCCGGCACTGCCAAATACCAAGGGGTGCAGTTATTTAATTAAAAGATTTCCCTAAAATATGTGTTTCTAATCAAAACATAATTCCCTAATTGCTGCATTCATCTTTGCCTCATCGTTGTGCACCCGAAATGCTCGAGCTGTGGGGAAGTTGAACTAATAGGGATAGAATTCATCCAATGCAATGATACCAAGAGGACACGGTGTTACAACACCGGCTGCAGTAACAACGGGCTGTTGATTAACTGCACTTGGCTCAACTGGCTTCGGACCATCAGGAGACACATGTTTCACTTTAAGCATCTGTTTCACAGATACAGGCACCGCATACAGATGTTGACACATATGGGAACATCCCATCCCTACAAGTATGTGATCAGTGCCTACATCTCTATTCGCATGAATGGGTATTCCACGCAAAGTGAGGATAGCGAATCACTTCGCTGATAATTTGATCAGACCTTTTTGTCTCCAGTGCTTCGGTCGTGGGCTTTAGAGCACGCTAGCAGCATATCTCTGTCTGGAAGGAGATGTATGGTAATGATTACAAGCTCAAAGCGCACGGCTTTCAGTGCAACTGCGCCAGCAGCCATGCACGTTCTGTTACCGGCAAACCAACAGCGATAATAGAGTGGCTCCAGGATGGATGCAAAAGAGATGCATGAGCAAATAGATGTGTACTAATTCATTTTTCGTTTTCGTTGATTATTTTTTATGTGCAGAGACAATGCGGAAAGCAGCACCGCCCGTCACTGCCTTTTTGGGCATCTAAGTCGACCGGGGCCACTGAGATCAGCTGTGGTCAGAGGGAGCTCAAGCTCGCGTACATTCAATCACACTCCATCCAACGATATGCGAAAGTAATCAGACGTATTTCGTCATAATTTGTCATAATTGACATGATGTAGAGCAGAGAAAATAGCGCTAGCGCAGACAGCGCTGTCTGATTCAGCATAGAACACGCGCCTGGCAGTAGATCTCCGCAATGAGCAAGATGTCGGCCCCCTTGGCGATATTGCACACCGCGTCGTTTACTCCCTCCGGGCACGTGAATGGTGGCAGCCACGGCAAATCAACTTGCGAATCCATGTCAAGAAAGGCCTCGGTTGCAGTCTGGTTGGCCTCTCCCCAGGCCTGCTTCAAAACCTGTGACCGCTCCTCGACGATCTACGGGCAAAGCATGCATTTTTTTTTGCGTTCTCGTGCACAAATTCTCTTTTGTCATTTTTCGCAATTCCATTCAGGGTTCAAATACAAAACAGAAATCGGGTCAGAACGGAAATTGCAATGATTCGGTGTGGCGTTGTCGAGATCTCGCACTGGCATTGCAAATGGCAAATAGATTGTTTTTCTCAGAACGTGCGACTTAAGCAGTTAAGAAGGACTAACGACAGGCCCTTTTGAACGCCGTTCAGAATGACGGGCTGTTAATGCTGTCCTCGTTCCAGCAGTTGTAGTACAAAGTTCGTTGCGCATTAGAATCCCACTGTCAATTCAACTTACAAATAGCATGAGCGTGCGTGAGCCCATGGAAATGCATATGCTGAGCAAGACATGATGAACGCGATAAACCTGGGCTTCAGCATTCCCAACTAGCAAAATTAACTACGAAGAGATGGAAAAAATTGCCGGAAAAATGACGCATATCTCGGATATGCATATCAGGGAGGCACACCCTGCACATAACCATATTCCATGATACCTACCCACCCCACCCACCCCCCCAAAAAAATCCTTGAATGTGGCCATACAGATCATTTTCACGTCATATCAAAAGAAATGGGCACGGATATAGAGGGTTCGAACTCCAGGGCCTATGCGTTTTTCGAAACGATGGCACCTCATTGTCTGTGACTTCGTGGTGCTCCCCTTTCCAATGGCACTCGCGGTGGGTGGCGACTTGAAAGCAATTAGGATTTCTTGTTCTTGCAACTGAACAGTAAACGCTGATTAAGTAAAATTGGACAATAGTTGCTTCGGCAATTTACTGCTCACTAAATTCTTACCTCAGCCGAAGCCCGCGGCAGAGGGAAATGCCCCAATGTTGACGGCAGTCCGGTCAGGGATTTCCACGCGTCAAACAAGCACATTTCTTTTACCCCGAGCTCAGACCTAAAGTGGTGCAGAGCGATGTCAGTTCACTTTGAAAGAGGGGAAGGGGAGGAGGGGACCACAGGAGAAGCAAAATCGGAAAACGAACACTCGGGGCACGGCGGCATGGATCCGTCTATGAAGTCCGCACCAGAAGGCTGACAGGCTTTTAGAAAGCGGCAAAGAGTAGCGAACAGACCGAGTATTGGACAAACGTGCTGCAGAAGCTATTCCAGACTTGGACTTCGCATCGTCTCGACAGTGAATACGTATGTACATCCATGCCTACTCAGCACATGGCATAGTGCAACATTCTATACTAGTGCTGAGCAGTATATTAATATAACTGTGATTATACATCAAATGAGTAAAATGGGCAGGTCTCGCAAGGGAGATTTTGCGATCCCCACACAGAAAGCACCACCCAAATGCCCCTTTGAGTTGTGACAATTTTAGAATGGTTAGTTCATTTATACCAATGCGATTTTCAGGGCGCATATTGTACAGCATGCTAGGAGCCTATTGAAGGACTGACAAACCTGGTGCCCATAGACCCTCCTGATGCGCAGAGCGCTGGCAACGTGCGCAGCCCTTAAAAAGCTAATGCAATGGTTAGTCATTGCCACCTCATTTCAGGCACAAGGACCGTTACTTGTCGCGTCCCGGCCAACCACCATCAATATCGATGGCGCCCGTCCTGCTGTGGAACATTCACTCAAAGCACCACTGTACAAACGTTATCGCCACTTATTTTAGAAATATTTTTGACATATTATTCAACGTGTTTTTAGGGTGCTTACAAGAGGATCTCGTCGCCAAACCATCCACAGTCGCTTTCGCTGTTGCACGCATCTGCCGTCTGGAAGGCTGCGCACTGAGCGACTCTTTTGGGAGTCTCTAGAAAGACGCCCACGTCCTTTCCGAAGCACTCTCTGATGGATTCAGCGCTCAGCAAGTCGGCGACTGTTGCGCATTGTCCTTCCTGCCTGAGGACCAGCCATTCATATGAGCACATGCACGCGCAAGTTCTTCGTGTACTGTTGACGTGCACATGATTTGCATGGAACCTCTTGCGCATGCATCACAGTACATATGCCACTTTGTTCATAATCCAAATGTAACATGCTAAAAAAACGCCACCAATCCTGTGATGAAAATGCTGTATCCTCACATGAGGGATTGCTCACAGGCGCAGGCGAACTGACATAAAGTAGACGGTTACAATATCACGACCACTGGAAATTCAAGGTTCAATGTACTGGTCCAATGTTGTCGGCAGGAACGTATCATACGATATCCAGCATATCTCCATCATCATCGCCATCATCGCCACTCCGCCCCGGTCCCGCGCATCACCGCCCGCGTCCGCCCGCAGCCTGGTAGGCGATGCTAGCATCGCCTGGTAGTTTGCATCACCATGCTCGTCGCCTACTCACAGTCATAATTTTGGCTCCACAAGCTTTGAGCAAGTTGCAGACATCTTTTAGTCACAGGAGGGACCCAATACTTTAATAACCATACACTGTACCATCCTTGCCCAAGAGATTGTGAAAAATACCGCCTCACCATGAACATCCTTCAGTCACCTCGCAGTCCTTTTCTGTGACAGCCAGTCCGCATTCCTGCGACATGTCCATTCCAGATTCTCTCAAACGCAAAGTTCGCCCCGCGGATTCCTTAATTGAACTAGAAAATATTACTTAATGCTTCTTTTGTATCAAAATCCTGAATCTCCAATTTTCTTTGGTGTCATCAATACCGCCGCGAAATGAAAATGCCAAACTCGCGATAACACTGATGACACCCAAGGATTTTCCTTAGAAAGACGCCTTGTGGCTGTCACCCGAAATAAGCAGCAACAGATAATCGATCCGCAGCCACTATCAAATAGTTTTGTCAGAAACTGACACAAGGCACACCGTCGTAAAATGTACGGCCTGGGTCGTTCC